TGTAGTTAATTAATATTAATATCAGCGTTCAAGAATTTTTATATGTTACCTAACTATATCATATTTGCAGCTTTTGACATGCTAGTTTCTTGTATGTAAAAAAAAGTGACGTAACGTCACATTTTTAACAAAAAAGTGACGTAATATCACATTTTTAACAAAAAAGTAACAGCGTGTCACTTTTTTTAACAAAAAATGACATTATGTCACTGGTTGTAGTAGTTTGATATTTGGTATTCATGCTGCAAGGCTCAGTTGATGATGTTGGAACCTGGTTGATGTATTAAGTAACAATACTTGTAACTGTAGATCCAATGTCAACGGAGCATGATATCCGTTGTCACATAAAAATACACATAACAAACCATTTTTTAACAAATTCATATCCATCAAAATCTATCGTCACTTTTGTTAACAAAGTGACATACCTAATAAACTTCAGAATTGACATGTTATTTTGAATATTTGAATTGAAAAACGTTCTAAAATAAAAATATCAAATAATCTGGTTTCTTATGTTTTCCAACTTCCTTTTCTTTTGTGATTTCTTTTTCACATTTGTTGAATTTTAACATGATCTACGATTGTGGTAATTATTCTCACATCTTCCACATTTTACACTTTGAATTTTCTCTCCTTTTGATGGTATTATTTTTTCTTTAGGTCGTCTGAATTTTCTTTTTGGATTAGGAGTCAAGACTATTCTTGCTTTAACCACATCCGGTAAATTTCAATCATTGTAATCTCCAAGTGAAAAATTTGTTCCAATATATGTTTGAATATACATATCTTTTATATAATATATCGAAAAATATGAATATGAATCTCCATTTATCTTTGTCATAACCATAAGTGCGTGTGTAGATAGAATCTTGTCCACTTATAACTGGTTGCATGTACATGTTCTTTCTTTCAGAATCTTGTCCACTTATAACTGGTTGCATGTACATGTTCTTTCTTTCATATTTAACAAATATAAGGCACAACCATCATTAAGTTAGTACAATATCGAACTTGAAATTGATACATGCGTGCACAATACAACAAAATACTCTATCAATCAATGTCACTATTTTATATTAAAAAAAGATTTAAAGTGAAAATTCAATAT